TTTTTGGCTTTTTTTTTGAAGTATAGTTGATTTACAATATTGTGTTTCAGAAGAGTGATTCAGTTACGCACATATGTATATATTCTTTTTCATAATGTCTTATTATAGGATATTGAATATAGTCACCTGTGCTATGCAGTAGGACCTTTTTTGTTTATCTATTTTATATACAGTAGTTTGCATCTGCTAATCCCAAACTCCTAACTTATCCTTCTCCCATCCTTTTTTCCCTTTGGTAACCATAAATTTGTTTTCTACGTCTTTGAGTCTGTTTCTGTATTGTAAATAAGCTAGTTGTATCATATTTTAGATCTCACATATAAGTGATACCATATATTTGTCTTTGTCCAACTTGTTTCACTTAGTATGACAACATCTAGGTCCATCCATGTTGCTGCAAATGGCATTATTTCATTCTTTTTTATGGCTGAGTAGTATTCCAGTGTTTTTGTGTGTGTGTGTGTGTGTGTGTGTGTGTGTGTGTGTGTGCACCACATCTTTATTTATTTGGATGCTAAATTTTCAATGGCTGGAGTGAAACAGGTTGTATTTAATCAAAAAAATTTATTTTACATTCTTCAGCTTTTAAATTTATACTTGAAATCTACTGACATTCACAACTTCACTTCCTCTGTTGCATTAGCCACATAACCAGTATCAGTAGCCACATGGGGTTGGATAATGTAGATTTAGACCAAGCTATCTAATTCTGGAAACTGTTTTATAGCAGGCAGAGGTGGACTTACCAAAAAGCAGATGAAGCTTAAGCTTCAGGGCCCCCTAAAAAAACCTTAGCTTCTGTATCTAAGTCTGGACTCACCATTTTGTTTGCTGTTTCTTAGAGAGGCTCCCAAAAGATGGAAATTTAGCTTCCAGAAAACCTGGATCCACCCTGCCGAGCTGTGCCAATATGGCCACTTTATTCATTTTTCATGACTGCGTAGTGTTCTGTTGTCAGAAGGGATCCTAATTTGGCCAGCTGATGGGCATGCAGCTGGTCTAAAACACCCTTGCAGGCATGTCTGTAGCCACTGGGCCAATCTCTCTGGCCAGAGGGTCAGTGTGATTTTTATTTTTATTTTTCAGTTAGGGGAGGTAATTAGGTTTTTATTCATTTATTTATTTTGTAATGGAGTTTGAACCAGGACCTTGTACATGCCAGGCACACCCTCCACCACTGAACTATACACTCCCCCGCAAGTGTATTTGATATTATGACTTATCATCCCTCATTTCCCTTTTCTGGAAAGTCTAAAGCAGCACATGCTGCCCAATAGAAATATAACCCAAGTTGGAGGAGGGTATAGCTCAGGGGCAGAGTGCATGCCTAGTATGCATGAGGTCCTGGGTTCAATCTCCAGTACCTCAATAAATAAATACATAAATCCTAATTACCCCTCCCCCATTAAAAAATTAAGACTTTTTTAAAAAACCTGCTGCTGTGAACATGGAAATATATATATATAACCCAAGCCACATGCATAATTAATACTTTTTTCTAGTAGCTACAACTTAAAAGCTGTAAAAGACACAGGTGAAATTAATTTTAAAATATACTCTCTTTAACCTAATAGATCCAAACAAGTATTAATTCAGTGTGTAATTAATGTAAGAAGTATTGAGATAATTTTAGTCTTCCTCTCATCCTAACTCTTGGAAATCCAGTGTGCATTTTACATTCACAGCACACCTAATTCAGACACTCAGTTTCATGGAAGTTCCTTGATCTGTAATCAGATGCCATAAAAACTATTGTCGGAGCACATATGCGTCTCCAAGATGTACCAAATGGACTGCGAAGTTTTCCAGATATTCAGTCAGGTCTTGGAGGCTGCTTTGGGTTTTGCTTTTACTTTTTATCTTGAAGTTGTCTTTGATTTACAGACGGAGACTATCAGTTTTTAAATTTAAATTAGCATTAAAAACTCTCCAACACAACAGCTGCATTTCAGGGGCTTGAGAACCAGAGGGGCTAGTGGCCACCAAATTAGATGGTGCAGATATAGAACATTTCTAGGACAGCAGGAAGTGCCACTGGACAGCGCTAGGCTGTAGACTGGAGCTCCACCTGCAAAGTGGGAGAGGTGATTGGAATTACATTAAGAGGCGAGAGTTTGGATTCTGGATCATAATGGCTCTAGCTGTGTGTATTTGGGCAAGAGACATACCGCTCGCTCAGAACCTCAGTCTTCTCATCTGTAAAATGGGTGGACCCAGGGCCACAGGAAGTGGAGAGGGGCAGGGCTGGGGTCCCAGATTTCTGCTCCAGTGGTTGGGATCTGAGGACTGGGAGGACTTTGTGACTGCCTGAGGGGACAGGAAGGACTAGGGAGTTGGGGGGAAAGGGGTCAGGCAGAGAGACACCCAGGATCACCAGGGCGGGATCATAGGGGTCACCTTTGAGCACTTAGGTCCTGAGCCCTTCCTTTGCTCTCCCCGCAAACTGGCCAGACTCACTGTCACCTCCGGGCCTTCGCATTGGCTGTTTCTTCTGCTGGGAACGCCCTTTGCCCCATCTCCTACTCTACCTGGTGAGCCCTCACATAACCTTCAAACCCAATCCCATTGTACCCCTCCCAGACGGAGACTTGGATTCAAGCCACAACTCCAGGACAGTGGGGAGCACCTCATAACCAGACTGGGGAAGAATCTGGGAAAGCTGGGAGGGGGCAGGGTCAAGGTGGGACCTGAGAGCCATGGGAGCCCATCCCAGGTCCAGAGGTCGAAGAGCTTAGCGGCTAGGAGAATGTGGACTCTGGGGACAGACGCTTTTTGTTGGAATTCCAGCTCTGCCATTTCTGGCTCTGAGCCTCTGGTCCTCAGTTTTCTCATCTGTAAAACAGGAATAATAACAGTGCCTCCAACCTCAGGACTCGTGAAGATTAACTTTGATAATCCATGTCCGCCTCTTGGGCATGTGCTATCATTTCTGTTATCAGTGATGCAGTCTCCACTCTCCCCTCCCCCTTTCCCCAGTTCCTCCGACCCATGGATCCACCAGGCTGGGCCAAGATAAAATGTTCCTGGCACCACTATCTCCCTGCGGTGTTGTTGCAGCTGCTTTTGGCCCTGTGCTTCTTCTCCTACCTGCGCGTGTCCCAAGACAAGCCCAGGTGGTCCCCTGAGTCTGCGGCCACCATGGTGGGATCACCCACCAGTGCTCTCAATGAGTTGGCCGGGCCAATGGCCTTCAAGGGGGCCCCTGCCAGGCCACTGCAGGGCCCTCCACCCGCCCGCCCCTGCTCCTCCTGCTGTGGACATGGCCATTCAACGTCCGGGTGGCTCTCTCGCTGCTTGGAGATGCGGCCCGGCACCCACGACTGCCAGCTGACCCGACAACCACAGGGCGTGCCCTCGGGCGGATGTGGTCCTCGTGCATCACCGAGAGGTCAGCTCCAGGCCCAAGGCGCAGCTCCCGCCTTCCCCGCGGCCACCCGGCCAGCGCTGGGTCTGGTACAGCATGGAATTGCCAGCAACTCCCCACAGCCGAAGGCCTGGACAGATACTTTAATCTCACCATGTCCTACCGCAGGGACTCGGATATCTTCATGCCGTATGGCTGGCTCGAGCCATGGCCTGGCCAGCCTGTCGGAGCGCTGGTCAACATCTCAGCCAAGACCAAGCTGGTGGCCTGGGTGGTGTCCAGCTGGAGGGCAGACTCGGCCAAGGTACGGCGCTACCAGAAGCTGCAAGCCCACCTCCAGGTGGGCGTGTACGGGAGGCGCCACAAGCCGCGGCCCCGGCCGGTCATGACCCAGCAACTGTCCCAGTACGAGTTTTACCTCGCTTTCGAGAACTCCTTGCACCCCGACTATATCACGGAGAAGCTATGGAAGAATGCCCTGCAGGCCTGGGCCGTGCCCGCGGTGCTGGGCCCCAGCAAGAGCAACTACGAATAGTTCCTGCCCCCCTGAAGCCTTCATCCACGTTGACAACTTCAAGAGCCCCAAGGACCCGGCCCGCTACCTGAGCCACTTCCGCTGGCGGGAGATGCTGTGGCCTCAGGCTTTCAGCTGGGCCCTGATGTTCTGCAAGGCCTGCTGGCGGCTGCAGCAGGAGCCCAGCTACCAGATGGTGCCCAGCATCTCCTCTTGGTTCACCTAAGCAGGCCAGCGGGGGCGGGGGCTGCTGGGACCCTCACCTGCTGGGAATCTGGGGACGCTGGTTGCTGGAGCTCTCACTTACTTGGGACTTCACCCAGGGCACCTCTGCTGCCAGGACTCGGGCCTCACTGGGACGTTGCTAGCCAGGAGTGTCACCTGCTGGGGGGGCTCACCTGCCAGGGGCCATGGCTGCTGGGGACCTCTGCCACCAAGGCATTCACCCCCTGGGGAACTGGCCTCGGCGTCCTGCCCGCTGGCGATGCTTCTGGTGGGTGTGCTGGAGATTACTGCTGCTGTTGTTAATTGACAGTCTCTGGGGTGTGCAGGTTGGCACTACTGACACCACTTTCCAGATGGGAACGCTCTGAGGAAAACTGGTGTGTCCCCCCCTTATTCCAGATCAGCGGTTCTCCCTCTGGGCAACTCTGCTCCCAGTGGACACTCGGAGTGTCTGGGGACATCTGTGGTCATCACAACCGGGGGTGGCTGATAGCACTGAGTGAGTAGGGGGCCAGAAATGCTGCTCCACAGCCTGCAGTGCCCGGGATGGCACCCCACACCCAAGAACGGCCCGGCCCCAGACGTCGAGGGGTGGAAAAACCCTTGGGGTCAAGCCTCTTGGAAAGGAGGAGACCAAGGTCTGGAGGGGGTGGGAGTGGGAGCTGTCTGGGCATCCACGTGGGGCAGGGATGGGACAAGGGGACCCTGTACACCCAGCGCAAGGATAGAGGAGGGGTGGGGACTGCCACCTGAAGGAGGGTGACAGGAGAGGGTGTGATGCTGTGCGTATGACTGAGAGTGGGTGTGACAAATGATGACCACACATGGATGTCCATGGCTGTGTGTGACTGAATGTGCGACCCTGTGTTTTTGCAGATGAGGTGACTTTGAGGGCAGCTCTTTCTGAGTGTGATCAACCACTGAGCGTGTAAGCATGTGGGTCGTAGGTCTGTGTGCTATCCTGTCTCTATGCCCTGTGAGAGAGAGGGAGAGAGTGTGTGTGTGTGTGCACCCTGATGAGAGCCCTAGGCCCGGGGGGGGGGTCTGTGGTGACAGCTCTGTTTATGTTCTGATTCTCTGGTGGGCTGAGCCAGTGTCCTGTGGTTGGATCTGGGTAGGAGATGGGGAGGCCAAAGTCTCAGGAGTCCCTAGGAGGGTACAAGGATGTGCGCGCGCATGCGCGCGCACATACAGGCTCACTCATGTGCACACCAAGGCAGCCAAGCTTTAGGGGCCATAGACCTGGCAATTTTCCTGCTGTGCGTCCTGGGCTGAGCAACTTCCCTCTCTTGAGGCTTAGGGCTATCTAGGATGGGGAAACTGAGGCTCAGCTTCCCCAGTGTCTGGGAATTCTAGCCTCTCTGCTATGGCTGGGCTGAGTCAGCCCAAATGGTGTAGGAATCCACCACCCCAAACCTTAGAGTCAGAAGTTTGTGTGGGTGGGTGAGGACCCCAGCCAACCAGCCTGCCCTGAAACTGCCTTCCAAGCAGACCACCCACCATCTGGGGCCTCACCGCTCGGGGCTCCTGGGAAGTCCTGCCTGTTAGCTGCCTTCAGTGTCTCCAGCCAGGGGTCTAGGGAGCTGGGGATGTTCTTGCCGGGCTGGGTGAAACTCCCAGGGGCATTTTGTGATTTGAGCCCTCCAGGTTTGGGATGGGGATTTGATTTGAGAAGGATGTGATGTTTAGAAGGTGTTCCTGAGTGCAGATGTGTAGGAAAAGGAAGGAGGGGGCCAGTCTAGGAGACACAAAAGTAAAGGAGGGAAGGGGCTGGAGAGCCCCAGTCAGGTAGGAGGAGGGAAGAGAGGGGATCATACCCTCAGGAAAGCTGTCTGGGGGAAGGGGGAGTTGCACCCTGGAGACCCCCCCCCCCAGTCTGAGGGGAAGAAGAGGAAGGGTCTACGCCATCTGGTCTCCCCAGTGACAGCCCCCCAGGCTCATGGCACTCGTCTCCTTCTCTGCCCCTCCTCTGACTGTGGGACCTACTGACCCTCCCCACCGGCTGGGAACTCAACACCCAGCGCTGTCCTGGGCCTGCCAAGCATCAAGGTGACACCACAGGCAAATCTAAACACCACACAGCTCTTTTTCCATCCTCTGTGGGAGCTCGCCGTAAATTCTCCCTGGAGTTCCGGCCAGAGCTTTTATGGCCCAGGACCTAAGTCCCTGGGGACCCGGCTTGGCCCCAGCAGGCGCCAGTTTGGGGCTGGATGGGGTTGGCACCCGCCCCAGACCTATCTCCCCAGGGAGATGGGCAGCGCGTGTTTATTTTTAGCTAGTCAAAGGAGACAGTGGCTCGGAGTTCACCCTGGTGGTCGTTCACCCTGGTGGGGGCTGACTGGCCAGAGGCCCACCCAAGTGAGGGAGGCCCGAGTCCACCTGGACCTCAATCTCTTCATCTGTAAAGTGACTCCACCTCTTTCTACCAACCTTAATTTTCCCCCTTCCCCCTAGAAGCACACACTGAGGAGAGGTGGGAATGGGGACACACTAAGAATGGGTCCATCTGGACCTCAGGCTCCTCATCTTGTGGGGAGATGGGGATGGGACACGCGGGGAAGGGGCACAGGGGCCTGCAGAGAGATGGGAAAGAAGGTCTCCGCCGACATTCCCCTTCACCCCTTTCCTTTTTGTACCCCGGAAACAGGACCCTCTTTGCATCTAACTTCCTCTTCCCCTAAAGCGAATGGGATCCTCCCACCATCCTGCAGGTGGTACCCGCACCTGTCCCCCTTTTCCCAATGGAGATGGCGCATCCTTCATACACGCCCTCATGCCTTCCCAAGAGGTAGGCACCTTCGGGGCGCGGAATCACAACGCGGGCTCGATTTTCCACACTTTATCTCAGTACAGTTATCGCGAGAGTCCTGAGGCCTCGGCGGCATCTTCTGCTCGTGGGCAGTCTGCTGCGGGGCTTGCCAG